TGACTTAGCCGCTTCACTGTTTACTAATCCGGGTCCTTCAAAGGGTTTCGGAATGTCTTCACTTCTGGCATATCGCTTTCAAGCAAGTGTTGGAGTTTCCTGAGGTCGTGAGGCTACTGAAGCAATCTGGCCTGCAATTTAATTAACCAGTGGATTAGATTCAAATCCCGGGGTTGCACAGGTAGCTTTCTCGCAACACGTTCGGGGAGGGGAACCCGCAAACCCAAAACTCCAGAGCCCTGTAAAACCCTGCAAAAACTTCGACGTTGCCCTAGTAGTATATACTCCAATGGCTTGTCCTTTTTGTGCCATGGGCTTGCCTCGCCCGCACTCAGCAGTTGACATGGCACAGCTCAAGCAAAAAGTCAGAGCTCTCTCTTTGTTCTGTCATCCGGACAAGCGTGGCGGCGACGGCAGAAATTTCCAGTTTCTCATCAATTGTAGAGACGAGTGCGAAAGGCGGATGCGGGAGAATGCTACGAGATGCGACTTGGAGCGTGTCCCCGGGGAGGGGCGGGGTTCGAACAAGCAGCCAACCGCAGCTGGTGGTGCTCCAGCTGGGTATGCTGCCGCTGCCAGACCGTCTCCACCCTGGACTGCTTGGGATGCCGAACACGCACCTTGGGACGTTCCTCCTTGTCCTCCTCGTGACGCTCCTGGGGATCGCACCGAACCGTCTTCCTCGTCTGAGCCGCGAACTGCTTTTCGTCCGCCTGCTGGCTGGCAGGTTCCCTCGCACAGCGACGTCTTCTGGGAAGCGAATGGCCTCTACAGATGGATCGTTGTGTGCTCTGCAAAGAAGAGTCCGAATTGCCTGAAATGGGCAGCTACGTCTACCGCAATTGGCCACGACACAGACCTGCAAGCGGAGATGAGGAACCTGGGCTGGTGGCTGCCAAATTCTACAAGGATTTGGAAGAGGGCTCAATGTCCTTGGTGCCAGACATAAGTAGAGGTCTCCGGAGGAGCCTCCGAGATGTCTGGGTGCAAGCTACCTCGCCCTAGGGCTGAGGTTCTTGTGCCTGGGCGGAATAAGAGCATGCGCCCTCAGGGTTTCGGGGTCCTCGCCTAAGAGCGCAAGGCCTCGTTTCCTTGCTGGTTTGTGTCAGCTCTGGCACTGTTTCCACCTTTTTCAGCTGCTCTCCATTAGCTGCTGACCCCAGGGGGGACGCAGCTGAGCTGACACTGCTCCTGCTAACCGATCGTCCCGAGGCTGGTTAGTCGCTCTGTGAAAAATTTTGCAAGTAGAGATGCGCAGGCGCTCTGGCTAACAGACAATCCTCGAGCTGTGGTTAGTCGCGGTGACTACTGATTGCCTTCAGGGTTAGCCGTCCCTGCGCACCTCGAACGCAACCTTAATTGCGTGGCTCTTCGGATCGCCACTGAAGATCTGTTCTGGACTGACCTCGGACGGTACAGCCTGCTCCTTTGCCTAATCTCTGCTATGACAGATACACTCATTCATTCTTGGAGCGAAGCGCTGGAGCTGGCATTCTTTCGAAAGGACGTCACCAGCTTGAGGCATCCAGAAACACTGCTTTTGCTCATGCCTCGAGCTGCACACATATAACTTCTGCACATGCTCTATGACCATTCAGATTGTCTGCTGCCAGGTTGGAGCACACTCATGGCATTGATGGTTCCCGACTCAGTGCTGGATTTGCTGCAACTCGGTGCATTTCATTCAGGTGCCCGTTACACATCTAGTTGTCATGTGCGTTGAAGCGATGCCACACATCTGACGCTTATCAAACAGACCTTGCAGATCCCTCTTTGCTTCTGCTTTCGCGATCAGGGGCTCATGCCCGTGATGCTTGCTGCCTTGTCTGTCCAGGACCAGATCTCTCTCCTTGTGTCTCGGGTCTTGACACGGCCAGACGCCTGGAGCAGGGACATCCAGGGTCTCACTCGGCATTTGGCAGCAGGGATGCGGCGT